TGGTTTTGAATCCAAAAATGTTTTTCTAAGCTTATATAGAGTTATAAAAGCAGAATCTCAAGCTAGACCTTTTAATCTTATACTTTATAGAATACTTTCCCCTGTTATGCTGATTCTTTTAAGATAATAGTGACTGTCTTACTGTGAAAATGGTACGTATTCATTAGGTAAATTTGGTAAGCACAGAAAAACATATAGAAGAAAATGAAAATTTTTTTTTACTATCAAAAGAAAAATAAATATTTTGGCATATAACATTTTTTTCTGTGTATATATAAAAATATGAAATGACACATAAGCACTTAAAAAGACATTGCTGTAGTACCATTATATAACCTATCCCTTTAAAAAGAGAAATTTAATTTTGAACATTCTTTAGTCATGAAGTAGTCTTCTGTTGCATAATTTTGAAAGATTACATAATGTTTTGTACATATATATTTTGTAATTCACTAATCTCAGTTTTTCTGATAATTGATCACAGATCAGCATGATTTCACAGCGTAAATATCTCCAAAAAGAAATAATGCCTAAAGGAGTTAAGTAAAAATGTAATTTTGATTATTTTTTTTGACAGAGAAAAATCTTCAGTGTGATTACAGTGAACTCTTTAAAGACATGCACATTACTTTTAAAACAAAGCAAATAGCTAAGATAACCATAAAATATAAAAAATAAATAATAAATCAGGAAAACTAGAGCTTATGTGAACTGAGACTTCAGAAAAATGCCAAGACTACCAGAAAAGGTTTCTTATATTACATTTCATGTAAAACGAATAATCAAGGAAAGTATAATAATAATGCATGACAATGAGGGGGGAAAATCCTTAGCTCTTGAAGCTCCTTTGTCAAAAGAGGAAGAGGAAGCCACCACCACCTCTAACAGAATTAAAATAAGACAAACATTGTTAGGAAGGACATAAAGGCTAATATGAGTATAGAGATAAAGAATGCATCTAATTAGGAAGGCAGCAAATCACTCGGCCATGTGTGTACCTGTGCAACAATCTTGCATGTTCTTCACATGTACCCCAAAACCTAAAATGCAATAAAAAAAAAAAACACTAAAAAAAAAAACAAGTACCACAGTAATTCATTAAAAAAACCTAATACAGTGGGAAACAAATGTAAAATTCATGTTTTCCATTCTTATTTTTAAAGTCATGGAGAAGAAAGGGCAAAAAATGATCTACCATTTACTTAACATATTGTGATTATTTCCTAAATGAGAATAATAAAATTATCCACAATTGAGTTAAACCAACATTTCTTTAATAAACTATAGACGTAGCTACTTAGGCTCAGCATAAAGTATTAAAAAAAAAGAATGCATCTAATTAAATAAGTTGTGTTCTGGGTCATCTTAAAACATCTTATAAAAGGAACTGCATTCAGCACCTTAAAATTACTGGTATTATTTGTGATCTTTGAAGGTTTTAGAAGAATACAAGAACTGCTAAAAGGTGGGAGATTCTGGGCTTGATTTTGAAACAGGTAGGAGATTTTGGAATTAAAAATGGAAAGGACTCATTTATGGCTGACTTGAAAAACAGATTAAAAATGATTAGGAATAGGTTTGTTAAAATTAGATTGTCAGACCAACTTAGATTTTTCTCTGATGCAGTTAGTAGACTAGCGACACTGTAATGTATTTGGACTTAAGCTTAGCTTTTGGTAAAGTCATTTGATATCCTTGAGTGTAAAGTGGGGGAACAATAAGTTAGCTACCAGCTGTTAGTGATGATTAACACAGTTCTGACTTTACCCCATCCAGAGATTGATTGATCTTGAAAGGTGGCTTTGTTCTTTGCTTTGTCTTAATGCTTATATGGAGAAAGCAAATTACCAAATATATCAGTGACAATGAGTAGTGAAGGATAGTAAATAATATACTAAATCTTCTAAAATTTTTGAGGCTGGGGTGTTGTACTAAGTTTAGATGAGCTTTTTTGGAGTTTATATGTAAGGCCTAAAAACCACCAGGATACATTAAGGTAGTAGCATGGCTCCACAGCATCACATGAAAAAGACCTGAGGGTGGCTGTTGACTGTAAACTAGATGTAAGGCAAAAGTATCATATGGCTTCCCATCTTCTTCCTCGCTCCACCCCTTTAAAAATCTCAATTAATGGAAAAGAAGAGTAGAGTAACTCTGCTAAATACCAAAGTATTGTTATTTTTAGTTCTGTGTATATTCAGGAGGAAGGATGTGAAAAAGTTGGTTATGTTGCCAGTTTAAGGAACTAAGAATTTAAGAGATATTTTGGGCCAGGTGTGATGGCTCACGCCTGTAATCCCAGCACTTGGAGAGGCTGAGGCATGCGGATTGCTTGAGGCCAGGAGTTTGTAACCAGCCTGGGCAACATGGCGAAGCTCCATCTCTACTAAAATTACAAAAATTAGCCAGGTGTGTTGGTGCATGCCTGTAATCCCAGCTATGTTGAAGCAATTCTCGTGCCTCAATTCTCTGAGGCAAGAGAATTGCTTGAACCCAGGAGGCAGAAGTTGCAGTGAGCAAAGATTACGTCACTGCACTGCAGCCTGGACAACAGAATGAGACTGTCTCAAAAGAAAGAAATCTTGTGATGGCTCTGGTCGGATATTAAGGAATGTTGTAATAAGAGCTGTCTTCAGATATTTTAAGACTTTTCCTTTGAAAAGTAATTAGACTTGGTTTGTGTCAGACTTGTTTGAAGATAGGAGCATGGACCCTGAAATTGAACCCCTTGAATCATATCTCAGACCCAGCACTTAATTAACTATATGATTTCAGACACTTTTCTTAACTGCTAAGTTTCCATTTTCTCAGCTGTAAAATGGGGATGGTTTTGAGGGTTAAGGTGATCAGTATTGTTCTAAATGCCCAAGTGGTGGTGGTGTTACTTGGTCCCAGCAGGTAGAACTAAGGCGGTTGTTTTCAGCCCATGTGATTATGTCCTCTAGCGGGCATTGGCAATGTCTAGGGGCATTTTGGTTGGGGAGCAGGAGAAAGTACTAACATCCTAATGGATGGAGGCCAGGGATGCTGGTAAACATTTTACAGTGCAAACAACAGCCTCTTAACAAGGAGTTATCTGGCCCCAAACTCTGAACTAGGATTAGGTAAAAAGGTTTAAGTCTTAATGTTAAGGGAAAACAGCCTAAGACTCAGAGCTTTCCAAGCCTAGAAGGAAACTTTTAAAAGAAAAAAAAGTTTCCCTTCCCTGTCATTAGTAGTAGGCCAGCCAATTCAAGGGAACTTTGTAGATGAGATTTAGGAATTAGATAAATGTTTGGACTAGATTTTCTAAAAGGTTTTTCCTGAACTTAGATTCTGTGTTTCTTTGGATATTTCTTAGGATAGTTAGACATATTGAATTACAACAACATCAAACGGCCTCTGATAGAAATTATCATAGTCTTGAATTTCATCAATCTAATAACAGTATAGTTTAGATTTTTAATTTTTATTTTAATATTTAGGATTTTAGTAAAAGGCATAATGGAGGGAATTTAATAGAAAAAGGTTGTTTTCAAAAGGTCATTTGGAAGGAGTGATTGTGGGATAGCTGTAATTTCTCTTTAGAAATCTGTTTTGTGGCTGGGTGAGGTGGCTTACGCCTGTAATCCTAGTGCTTTGGAAGGCCGAGGCGGATGGATCACGAGGTCAGGAGTTCAAGACCAGCTTGGCCAAGATCGTGAAAGCCCGTCTCTACTAAAAATACAAAAAATTTGCCGGGCGTGGTGGCAGGCGCCTGTACTCTCCTCCGAGGCAGAAGAATCGCCTGAACCTGGGAGGCAGAGGTTGCAGTAAGCTGAGACCGTGCCATTGCACTCCAGCCTGGGCGACAGGTGAGACTCCATCTGAAAAAAAGAAAAAGAAAGAGAGAGGAGAGAGAAAGAAATCTGTTTTGTGAAAATAATTTATTAAAATATTCACAATCATTTGATAAATACTTTAAAAACAGTCTTGGATTTGTACTTCATATCTTTTATATTCCAATAGTTTTTTTAAAATAATTACAAGTTTTAAAAGCATTGCTTGAAAAATATTGGTTGTTGTATGCATTATAATATCATCTCAATCTTGAACAGTACCAAGAACAGTGTAGTTATTTGTAATATTTGTTGAATGAATGGCTATTCAGTAGATATACAATAAACCTATCCAACCACTAATTTATTTGAACAATTTTTAATAGTGGCTAGCTATTTTTAAAAAAATTTTTCATGGTAGGAAGTTGCTTGAGAATATTATGTATGCAGTGACTACTAACTTTCAAATTTGTATTTCTAGCCTAGACTTTTACCCTGAACTTTAGATTTATGTATCCATAAGTATACACAGACTTATGTACACTCAGATGTATAATAAGCATCTCACTTTTAACATGTCTAAGATATACCTACATTTTTAAACCTAGTCCTGTCACTCTTACTTGTATTCAGTAAATGGAACTTCCATTCTTGCAGTTACTCAGACCAAAATCATGGAGTCATCCTTAACTCCTCTTTTTTCTCTCACCTCCTACATTTCATCGGTAAATTTCAGAGGTATATTCTTCAAAATATATGGTTTAGTCCACTCTTTACATGTAACTCTGCCGTAACACTGGTCCAAGTCACTTTCAGCTCTCACCTGATTATTTACGGTAACCTCTGAAATGGTCTCTTGTTTTTTACCTTTGCCCCCTTTCTCCCATCCTCCCATAGTCTATTTTTGCAGCTAGAGTGGTCCTGTTGAAACATAAATTAGATCATTTAACTCATACTTGAGTTCTATCCATTTCACTAAAAAAAAAAAAAAAGCAAAAACCCTTTAAATATCCCTTCAAGGCCTGTCATAATATTGTAGTCTTGCCTCACAAAGCTCTACCTTTTTATCATGGTTGTTCTTGTTTTTTATGTTCTAGCAACCCTGGGCTTCTGGAACATCTTGAAAAAGGATAACTCTTGCCTCTGGGACTTGGATTTACTATTCCCTTCTGTATTTCATAGTTCCATTTTTTGCGTTTTTAGGTCTTTATTTAGACATTTCTCCCTCAGAGGGTTCTACCTTGACCATTCAAAATGGTGACACTCTTTTTTTTTATTACCCTTCTTTATTTTTCCTTATAACATTTATCACCATATGTTAGTATCTGGGTCTTCATGTGACTTAAGTTGAAATTTGAAAAGATACTCTTAGGTGCTGCTGCTGCTGCCACGGCCTCCCTAGAATTGGTGACATATCTGGCAATGGGATTTTAGGAAGGAGAGAAAGATGTCAGGATTTAGAAATAGTATTAAAACTATTTTAGGCTATATGTATTTCTTGCTGAAGTTGTCTTTGTGGGGGCAATCTGGGATTTAAGTATCATTTAAGATATTTTTATGGGAAAATATATCCAACAACAGACTTACAGGTGATGTTTGAGAATTTAATTCTTCAGTTGAGAACTTCCCTTTTCCATAATTAAGCCTTTGTTCCTTGGGAAACTGGCCATATATAGTAAGCAGAAGAGCAGAAAGTTTATAGAAGGCTACTCGACCAAACAAAGGAAACGAGAGAGAAATTGTTATTAAATCTATTGAAAATAGATTCAAGTTTGATAGCATTTTTTATGTTACAGTTATTGACATAATACAATGCTCAGGAAACTTGTTCTGTATAAGGCTGGACAGTAAATATTTTTGGCTATGGGGGCTACAGTCTCTGTCCTAACCACTCAACTTTGTCATTGTAGTATGAAAACAGCCATGAACAGTAATCATGAATAGACACTGTTGTGTTCCAATAATACTTTATTTACAGAATCAGGCAATGGGTAGAATTTGGACCATGAGCCATAGTTTGCCTAATCCTTGCTTAACACATTAGCGATGCTTATAAAAAGCAAATCAGTTACTTCAAAAGTATATTAAAATAAAGTCATTTAAAAGTTTTAGTTTAAAAAACTGGAACAGAGGATATAGTATTTGTTAGAAGAGTAAAAAATCAGCTAATTTTTCTCTAAGAATAAAAGTAGGATTTAAAATATTGCTGCTTTATTGAGGTCAGATTAATTCAAATGGATGGGAATATTGTCAATGGTAAAAAAAACCTCACAAACTCAAATTGTTTTTTCTATTATCTAAATGAATAATCAACACAGAAGACTTCCGTAACCAAGTGTGGGATGGCTTTCCCCACATACCAAGCAAGTGATCACTTCTGCAGTAGATAGATACTAGGTAGATATCCTTCAATTCAATTCTGATACTATTTTACATAGCATCAGATCCCACAGGTTGAGAACTCAGTTCCACAAGATTGTTCTCCAACTTCTGGTTCTGGTTGCAAGTCCCAGGTTCTTTTACCTGTGCTTCTGACCAACTAGCTATAAATTAAAGACCCTACATCTCCCTCCTTGGGTTCCATTAATTTGTTAGAGCAATTCACAGAACTCAAGGGAAACATGTTTACCATTTTATTTTAAAGAATGTTACAAAGGATACAGATGAAGAGATGTATAGGGCGAAATATGGGGGAAGGGGTGTGGAGCTACCATGCTCCCTCTGGGCATGCCACCCTCCAGGAACCTTCACCTGTTCAGCTATACATAAGCTCTGCAAACTGCCCTCGTGGGCCTTTTATGGAGATATCATTGGCTAGGGATGATTGACAACCATGTGAAAATGTGATTGGACAAAAGAGGTGTAATCTAATTGTAATAAATGCAGTGAGGAAATCCAGCAAGGTCTGTCCAGATTCTTGGCCTTTCTATGCAGCATTTCTTCCTCCAGGGTATGGGAGAGGACTCCTTCTGAAATGAGGGGCCTATGGCCTATAAGCAAACAAAGTAGGTCAGGGGATGTCTTTATGGTCGTTTCCATTACAGAGAGGCAGGGGAAGAGTGGAATTTATTTTTAGTTTCTAAGGCCTGCCTTGGTGAAAAAAAGGAGCAGTGAAAAGAGGACAGACAGGTGAAGGTCAGAGAAAGAGATTCTGTTTTCTGAGGCCTGCTTCTGAGGCCTAAAATGCCCCCAACATTATAACAAGGGCAATAGGAGTTATGAGCCAGGAAACGTGGACAAAAACGTGTGTGTGTGTGTGTGTGTGTACACACACACACACACACACACACATATATATAAAACCTTTTATGGAGACATACATGTTTTTTATAGAGATGTATGTATATTTAGTTTTTTATACTACAGTTTTATGTATTTGTCAACAATTTTCTGATATGAATGCTACATATGTCAGCTCCTCCTGGAAATTTTTCTTATATTATTTCTTTGAAAATGTTCTTCCCTCTATTTTCTCTGTTTTCTCTGGAACATGTATTAGTTGAATATTGACCTCCTTCATTAGTTCTTTTTTATGCTTTCTTATTTTTCATGTCTTTGTATTTTTGTTCTTTTAAGGATATTCTCAATATTTTCTTTCAGTCCTTCTAGTAACCTTGTAGAAATTTCTGCTATTATTTTGAATTTCTCAGAACTCTTTCCTATTCTCTAATTTTTAAAAAGTGCAGCATTCCTGTCCTTATTTCATGGAGACATTTTGTATGTTATTGAATTTATTATAGTTTTGTGTTTTTTTGTCTGCATATTATTGCTTTTTAAAATTATATATATTAAGCTTTTTCATTGTGAAGTAATTTTAGATTTACAAGAAATCATAAAAAATCATACAGTGAATTCCCAGGTACTCTACTCAGCCTCCTTTAATGATAACATCTTACAAAAGTGTAGCACATTATGAGAACCAGGAAACTGACATGGGTACAATACTAATAACTAAATTATTGACCTTTCTTGTATTTTATCAGTTTTTACATGCACTTTTTCTTTTTTTTTGGTACATAGTTCTGTGATAATTTATTGTATTTATAGATTCATGTAACTACCACCACAATCGGGATATAGAACTGTTCTGTCACCACAAATTCTCTGTGCTACCCTCCTTTATAGTTACACCTGACCTCCAACTCTGACCTCTGGCAACCCCTGAATTAGTTCTACATCCCTATAAGTTTGTCATTTTGAGCACATTATATAAGTAGAATCACATAGCGTATAAACTTTTGGGTTTGGGTTTTTTCGTTCAGCGTAATGCTTTTGGGTCCATTCGCATTTGTTGCAGATATCAATAGTTTTTTTTAAAATTTCTGAATAATATTCTATTGTATGGCTGTACTACAGTTTACCCATTCAAAGCATGGCATGGTTTTTGTTATAAACTTTGCAGTACTATTGGATTTTAAAAACTCTATACGTACTAGTTTAGTATCATAAACTTTTTCCCCTTGTAGGAAAACTCCTTGTTTCATTGAACAGAACAAGGCCGTTATGTTTTTCTTCAGTTCTTAGGAACCTGCCTGCCATTAAAAGCTGTTGCTGTAATTACAGTTTTTAAAAAAATTAGGTGACAAAATCATATGCAGAAGTTCATACCAGATTCGTATTCTAAAGTTTGATGTGAATTGATTTGCTTCTACACTTGATCTTAGCCTAAATGCTGAGAAGTGATAGATTTGCTTCTCAGAGTGACTATTTTAATAAGATTTAAAAGTTTTTAGAAATTTCACTGCCTGTTGATTCACCCTGTGCTTCAAAGCATGGTTTTGAAACTAAGTGAAAAGTTAATATTAAAGAAAACAGAAGCACTGGTAAGTCATAAAGCTACAAAATTTAAAAATGGAAATATTTTCTTTTGTGTTTAAGGTGGGTTTATGTAACTAACTAGAGGTGCTTGAAAGTGATTGACATTTTTTAGTTGAAGAAAATTGTGATCTCAGAGGATCATGATTAAGGGTTCTGATTTGGGTTTTTGTAGTAAGTTTATTGTGTAGTATATGTTGGTTTATGAGGTTTTCAAGTGATGATCAGTTGGTGATAGTAGGTGTTTTTAATCTGATTGTAGAAATGCTTTTGGTTTCTTGAGACTATGGACCATGTTATAAGAAGAGGATGCAAGAATCTCTGTAGGTTGGTAAGAGAAGAAATTTAGTATACTCTCGTAAGAAAAGTGTGAAAAGAAAGGACCATTAGAAGAAGAAAGGCATGACTTGTGTTAAGTGTAATTGAAATGGCTAAGTAGTCATTTTCTAGTAGGGCATCATCAAGCAGCTGTGTTTTGGCCAAGAAGTCAATTCTGGTGTACAGTTTGATAAATTTTGACATATATGTATACCATAAAACCTTACCACAATTATGATAATAAGCATATACCTCACACTCAAAAGCTTCTTTGGCGCCCTTTGTAACCCTTTCCTTTGAACTCCTATACCCCTTTTTTGTGAAACCACCAATGTGTTTTCTGTCATTCTATACATTATTCTATATTTCCTAGAATTTTATATCATTTATTTTTTGTCGTGGAGAGTTCTGGCTTCTTTCACTCATTGCAATTATTTTGACATTGATTCATGTTGTAACTTGTGTCAGTAGTACATTCTTTATTGTTGAGTAATATTCCATTGTATGGATATGTCACAAATTGTTTATCCTTTCACTTGTTCATAGACATTTAGGTTGTTTCCAGTTTTGAGCTGTTACAAATAAAGCTGCTAAGAATGTTTGTGTACAAATCTTTTTTATGGATAATGTCTTCATTTCTTTTGGGTAAATACAGAATGGAATGGCTGAATGATATGGCTAGTGTATGTTTAATTTCTTAAGAAACAAACTTTTCTGAGACAATTTCTTTTTATTTATTTATTTTTGGAGATGGAGCCTCACTCTGTCACCCAGGCTGGAGTGCAGTGGCGCAATCTCGGCTCACTGCAACCTCCACCTCCCAGGTTCAGGCGATTCTCCTGCTTCAGCCTCCCAAATAGCTGGGATTACAGGTCCACACCACCAAGCCCAGCTGTTGTATTTTTAGTAGAGACGGGGTTTCACCGTGTTAGCCAGGATGGTCTCAATCTCCTGACCTCATGATCCGCCCACCTTGGCCTCCCAAAGTGCTGGGATTACATGTGTGAGCCACTGCACCTGGCCTCGAGACAATTTCTAAAATGGTGGTACCATTTTTCATTTCTACCGCAAGTATATGAGAATTCCATTTCAAAATGCATGTACTCATCAACACTTGATATGGT